GGAAATCTCTCTGAAATATTAAGGAAGAGCACATAGGCCTGGCTGCAAGCCCATGGCCTTATCCCCACCTCACCTATGCAAAAACAGCTCAAACAGGTAGTCATCTGAAGGGTAAAAGTAAGGTTCTGCGGAAATGCTCTTTAGTTACACACGGTTATGGATACCAGGTACGTGTTATACTGAGGAAAGATGAGGCTGCCCCCTCCTTCCTTGACACCCTCTGCTCAGATGTTCAAAGACAACCCTTGGATAAATATCATATTCTAATTTTACTCTTGCTCCTCTGTGTATGAAGTAGAGTTCCTGTTGCTAACACAGGGGAAGGTTTCCTGATGTTGCCAGGGCAACCCTGCAGTACACAGTGTTCTCCCTGAAGGGAGTGGTGGTTTAGCAGATCTGTGTTGGAGGCAAAATATTAGTGGTCTGTGTGGCCAACCCACCCATGCACTTGACCGCAGGAAGCTGGAGTCGGGTGCTGTGGTCTGGCTGGGAGAAATGCGTCCTGATGGCTGGTGGACTCCACGCCCATTCATGGGGGATCAACTAGCCTCGTGGTGGTTCTAGGGATGGTTGTTCCTCTGAGAAGTCACCTATTAACTCTGACCTTCCCAAAATGTTGATGAGCCCTGTCCTGCCTATTCTATCTAAGATCACAGAGCACAGAATTCATTCGTAAATGTTCATCTCCACCAAGTTTCCAAAATGCAGAGGAACTCAGGAAGCAGGCTGAATGGCATCTCTACAGTTGTGCTCTGGGCACTTAAACATGTGGAGAGAAGAATTTGATTTTGCTGCAGCAGAGCTCACCTTTTCTACCTGTGGGGACCACCAAAGGGTCAGCGTTACCACCTCAGGACAACAGGTTCCTATCCCTCAGCTGGTACTTCCCTTTGCTGACACAGGAATCCAAGTGCACACAAAGCTAACAGGAAGCTGGCCTCAGAGGAAGCAAGACACTAAGCAGTGACCAGAGATAAGGACGAGACTCTACAGGTGTCATATATGACCCTAGGTCCACTGGGGGACTTTGTGCAAATCACTTCCTTCTTTGACTTTAGGGACCTGCTATAAGATGTTAAATGCCACAGTACTCCTTACACCTCTTCCTAGTCACAGTATTCTCTGCACAGTGCTTTGGACACAGTAAGTACATCCATGAGGTATAAAAACCATCTGGTTGACCTTTGCATGCGTGGTTTCCCTACCTGCCTTCTCATTAGTGGTATGTATGGATGTCTCAAGGCCATGTATTGGGAGCTGGAGACCTAGGAGGAGAAAGGACAGAGACTGACACTCAGATGAAAGGCGTGTGGGTTATCTAAGAAGAGGTAAGGCATTAGGGATGAAAAGGTATCAAGCCAATTGGAAGGGGTGGAAAAACTGCCACACCACTTTCTAGGGAACAAAGTGGGTTGAGAGTCAAGATGGCATTTGGCAAAAGAAGGCATCTGGTGAGGGTGATCGACAGGGAAGGGAGAAGGACAAGGAAGGACATACTGCCATGACAAGTGTGAAGTGACAGCACAGTGTATGGCACATGGGCCATGCAAACGTCCCCTTCCCCAGCATGGTAGGAGACAGACGTCACCGACTGCCACCATTGCCCACAAGGCACAGGAAGAAACATGACAAGAACAAGGCTCCTGGATTCCCAGCTCTGGCTTTGTAACCTCGAGCAAATCTGCGACCTCTCTGAGCTCCCCACACCCACCACCCATTTCCTCAGATGAAAGAACAAGGCTAACAGTACTCTAATAATAGCATCTATCTCACAGCTATCAGGAGGGTAACATCCAAAGATGGAGAGTGTGTGCAACTACTGTGTGAGCACATACATATGTAATGTTATATGTAATATTACAATACTATAGCCAAATAGCTGAATACTTATTACTATGAAAAACCCACAAAAAGGTCAACACTGCTTTGACTGAAGGCTGGAAATCACCGTTTGTATGTGGTGTGGTTATCCCAGCTTAACCCCAAAGAAGTCTCTTGGCCACTCTCACTGGGACACTATGTACAAGAGGTTTTGCTACATGTGGGTCCTCACTGCGCTGCCTCCTGATCCAAGAGTGTGTGCTTTTCCGTCCCAGAGAATGAAGCCATCCACGCCTGGGCTACCACCCCAGCACTAATGCTGACTCTGGTACCTTTAGATGACTAGCTATTGAGTTGATTCCATCTCTGGTGACCCCATGTTAGAACAGAACTGTGCTCCACAGGGTTTTCAATGGCTGGGTTTTAGGAAGTAGGTCACCAGGCCTTTCTTCACAGGGCCTCTGGGTGGACTCAACTCTCCAACCTTTTGGTTGGCAGCTGAGTGCATTCACCATTTGCACCACCCAGGGACTCCACTTTACTTTTAGATAGTTACATACTCTTCATCGAGTTGAAACAGCAGTGAGAGTGACAAACCCGTTTGTTATTGTTATGTGCCATGGAGTTGGACCCGACTCATAGCAACCCCTCCTTGGGTTTCTGAGGCAGTATCACTATGGAAGTAGATTGCCCAACCTTCCTTCCGAGGAGTGGCTGGTGGGTTTGAACCGCCAGCCTTCTGGTTAGCAGCCAAGTGCCTTAGACACTATGCTACCAGAGCTCCTAACAAACCCAAAAGCTCCTTCCCTTTCAATCTTCTGCTGCTTTGTAGAGGACACAGAAAAATATAATAAAGAAATAACTAACATAACCATCCGACCATCAGAAAGATTTCATTTGTCCTAAGAATCCATCTGTCCAGCTCCCTCATTTTACAGATAAAGAATCCAAGGCCAGATAGGACAAGTGACTTGATCAAAACCATTCCCCCAGTAAATGGTGGAGTCAGTTCCAAAGTCCGTCTTTCTCCCCACTGTGTAGCACTTCACAGCCCCCGTGTATCATGTTCAAAATGTGCTTTTCAGACTCAAACCTGAACACTGCCATCTCGCTGTAAATACAGATCAGAAAGTGGGTCAGTGGCCCCCAGAAGTGAGCTCCAAGAGGGAGGGCGGCCCCAGATCTCACCTGCAAATTTGCACAAGGTGGGAGCACATGAGTGGGGATCTCATTCTCAGACCCTGCTGGCCCCAGGGGCTTGTTCTTGATCCGGAAGGCTGTGGTGGTGGTGGCAGTGGTGGTCTGTACCGGGAGGGCTGGCTGCCACACAGTCACATCGGAGCCATTGCCAAAGGCTTGAATTGCATTTTCTGTAGTAAACAGGAGAAAATCCAATTTCAAAGTCAAGTAGCAAATGTAACAGACAGGATATGTGCAGCCAGAGAGGCACACTACAAATTCAAAATAGGGCATTGGACTTCTCTTAACAAAACCCATCCATCCATCCTTCCATCTGCCTGTCTGTCCATGTGTCCGTCCTTGGCCAGTCATTGAATTAGATACTCAAATATCCATTCACTAAACACTGACTGGACACTTAGCTAGGCCCCAAATGCTGCAAATATTTATTGTTCCTGTTTGCGTGCCAAGTGTTGAGCGAGTTCTTTCCCCTGAAATCATCCTCAGTTGAGCTCTTTGAAACTCAGCCTCAGTCCTGCTGCTTGGAATCATAATCATTATCGCATCTTTCAAGAACATCCTTGTGCTCTGTCAAAGCAAACTAATTCATGCTTTCATATAAAATACAACATCCCTACTTATGAGACTGAGACATTAGCCTTTACCCTCGAATTTTGCAGGCAGTGCTATAAAATGGCCAAAAAGGTGAATTTCTCTAATAGAGTGCCTACCATGTGTTGAGGAGCCCTGTGGTGCACTGGTTAAATGCTTGGCTGTTA